CGAATATCAATCACCACAAGTGACTTTGAATATACACACCCAAACACACGAGAAGAGTACCTGCACTGAAACGTTATTTTGTAAGAAAACATAAAATAAAAATGAGTGAAAGACAAGTTATAAGACGAATCGAATCTGGTTTTTAAAAATGCTTGGCCATTTGATTCACGTTTTCGTCAATATTCAGACAAGTGTACGGCGTGATTTTGTTAAAGACTCAATTAGACTCCGTTAATGTGTCATTTTCTTAGTATCATATTCTTATTACTAGTAGGTGCTGGATTTTTGTATTGCATTACAAGAATGTTCTGATTTTCAGACTGGGAAAAAATATTTTATTTGAAACAAATTTGGACCAATTAAATTAACATATCTACTGATCCCAAGAGAAGTTTCGGGGGTTTGATACAAGGGATGAAATATTAATAAAAAAAAAACTTCATAGAAAGATCGCACGTTATACGCAGAGTTCTTCAGGATTTTTTCCACTTTTAGTTTTAACTTCTCGAAAAGTACAAAAATCAAAACGGATGTTACATTTTCAGACATTTTTTCTCTACCTTTGGTGAAAGTAAACACTAATTTAAAAGGAATTGTAATTGGTTGAGCCGGTGGCAAACTAGAAGAATTTGACCGAATGACCATGTGATGTTTACCTTTGCAGCATGTGGAAGTGGAATTTGTAATCGCTTTGCAAACAATCATTCCAACTGTTTGTTTCTTTATCAATTTGTCGAGACATGTTTGTTGCCATCTTTCATTTTAAAATAAGGGCTACATCCTACATGTACGTATATACAAATATATCTACTTTGAGGGATATACTTAAAAATTTGACGGTCTTCCTTATAAATGGAAAAAAATACAAGAAAATATGTTATCAACTTTGTAACGTGATATTTAAGGTTCTAACAAGTACAAAATATTATCAAATGGTTGGTGGTCTAGTGGTCTTGAGATTTGAAAAATAGTTTTCAAGATCACTAGTTCAACTCCACTTGGAATGGGTGATTTATGCTTTAAACGTGATATTATCAACGGTTAGCCCCGGACACCGAGGATTTTATGGATCGAAGATCCAGAACTCCAACGGTTTATAAAAAAAAAATATAAAATATAAATGTTGCGTTGCGCAAGATTCCGTGGATCGATCTGTCCCTTTTTCTTGGCTTTTCACCAGACCATATATTCAGTCATTTAGACGACGGACATGTATATGTACTAATGTACATAGAAATATCATTTTAGTTGATTGATAATGTTGTGTATTGTGATTTTATCGCATATTAAAACATGTCGGTGAAATTTGCTTACTCTTACAGTCTTGCATAAGGATATTTGCTGTCTTGCTTGTTCTCTTGGAGTAATTCACTCATTTATTAAAAAAATAGCATGTTTTACAAGTAGCTAAATAAAGTATGTGAGGGAAGTACACTAACATTTGTTTTTTGAAAAACTATTCAAATTGAATAAGATTTTGTTATCGATCGAGCTTAATTAATAGGTAGCTTGATGATTGTATTGAAGATTTTGTTACATTCTTTTCTTTTAAACCCACTTTGTCACAGCATTCACACATATATGTACATATTAGCGTTTTAATGCCAATATCACATTAACGTTTCCCTCAACATCGATGATCATTAGGAATTAG